ACACACACACACACACACACACACACACACACACACACACACACACACACACACACACACACACAGAGGTTTGTCCCAATATACGTTATCTTAGTCTGTGAGATCGGGTTGAATGAAAATAAAGACCCTTGATCGGCTATTTCTTGTTGTTGTTGTTGTTGTTGGTGGTGGTGGTGGTGGTGGTGGTGGGTGCTTGGATGTCTGTCAGCAATATTACTGCAACTATCTTACGATAAGCGAATTCGAAATAGTTTTTCAGAAGGTCAGAGAACGCTTCATGGGAACGACACAATATTTGAACACTGATGACCATGCTACAGAACGGAAAACAATCAATTTCATGCTATTATTCCCTATCAAATCACAATGTCTATTTAATACATATATATTCACTTGCACCTCCCCCTAATCATTACGACGCACGATCGTTATGTAGCCTGCAAACGCATTCACGGACTCTAATGCCAAAAGAACTTGACTGATGAGGGGGGTGAGGGAGATGACCGATTCGTGTGTTTCCGATATTTTGCGACTCGAAAGAGTATATATGTTCTGAGCATCGATTACACTCTGAATGTGAAGGCAACCTGCCCAAATATCTTCTCGTGTAACGTATCTCATGCCGTTCCCGGATAGAATAGGGAGTTTGGCCAACTGCACAAAACGGAACCAATTTATTTACTCAGCGCACGCACACACTCACACCGAGCTTCATCTTAGTGAAGCATTGCAACTACAAAAAGCGCACATCAATATAAGAAAATGGTGCCGGAGAACGCGGCAAGCAGCAGCGTGAGGACGCGGTCTTGGCACATTTTTGGAGCAACCAATGAGCGTTTATATCACTTGCTTACAGTGTCTGCCGTGTCCCAGCTATGATCGTACGGCCAGAAACACTTGGCAATGCCTCGATTGCCTCCACTATTTCGTGGACCGAATCGCACGTCATACAACATCTCAGACTCGTTCAAAGAGCCATTCACGTGACCTAGGGCAGACACATTCACACGTATTTCGGGGCTAATTTCACGGTGTACCGGTCCCCGTGCCGGAAAAGACTATAGCAAAACAGAGAATGGGACAAAACAGGACAGAACAGAACAAAACAGGACAGGACAGAATTTGGTGGATCGAAAACCGGTGATTGAATTGTGAGAATAAAAAGCAAACAGATGTTTGTGCATGACACAGTGAGCATTTTTAGATCTGCGGTTTGATCAGCCTTAGTATCAAGTGAGTGGATAAATCAAAAATGGAAAAGTGAATTAGTATATGTTGCCCAGTTGCTTTGCTAGCCAAAGATCGTACTTATTAGAAACTTGAAACATTGGGTCCCTTTTATCCAATACGTTAGAACTCTGAGAAGACAAATACTGCGACATATTAATATTTCTTTTAATTTCTTCAGTCGTTACAACGTAAAATACAGGCAAGTTTTGATAACTACAGTGGTAAAACGGACAATAGTCAGGGAAGCGGGGGAGAGGGTGGGGTGGGAAATCAGTTCCATGGCAGTGTAACTGATTGTGTAAGAAACCTTTGTGCGCAAAAGACTGGGTTACGTAACTAGATTAGCATTCCCTCGCTAAACTCCAAGATCCTAGGGTTCATGTTACGTAATAACAGCTTGAACGACATTTGTGGGTCAATGGTGTGTCCAGTTGCCATGATATGTTTTACCTGTAAGACTTTGTTGCGTCATCGACTGTACCAACCACTTGAGCATGTGTTCAGACATCCGCTGTGCCAGGGTCCGACATTGCAGAGCTTGGAACTTACTGTCGTTACGCTCGGTCACAAGCACTATTGTTGTCAAGTGTGTCACAGTGAATGATCTACCTGATCTCTCTCTCTATCACTTCAACTACACCCAAATCAATTTTGTTGTAACTAACCAAGAACAGTAAACAATTACTGTTTTTATAATGTCGGCATCCGCCTGTTGTTCTTGTCTAGATTCCGAACATCCTCTTTTGTTGGTCAAAAATCGGAATCGAAACACCGGGGAGACGCCGACGGCGGTCAAAAAATTAAGAGCACGGTTAAATAAGTCACTGTTGTATTTGGTCCCATGAACATCCACGATTTTCAGGCATCCGACATAAAAAGGTTTATTTGTTTTGTTCTAATTTGCCGGATTTGCGGCTTAGAAGTTTCGCCTTGCTCCCATATATGTATGAATGCCGCGCACGAATAAACGAAACCGTAAATAGGAATAAGTGGTTGTCAAATCGACTGATTTAGTTGAATCCTAAAACTATGTGCTCCCATGGAATATTTGCAATCACTTAAATTGCCTTGACTGGACCCAAGTAAGTCAACGGGTACAGCAACACATGAAAATTGATTGTTGGCTTTTGACAAAATCCACATTCGAAAAGGTGTGGGTGAACTAGAACCAAAATTCCTGAACACTCAAGCTATTTGCTTTTTTTGAGAAATCTTACTTGGATTCAGTAGTATATATGTTTTGGTGTAATGGTTCGATCGATCACAAAGCACCAAACCCGAAAACAATGGATATGAGCACCAACAGAAACTGCCATTCTGGTTGAGGAGATGTTCATGGGATATGAATTGTCAGGGTAATTGATAGACTGAGGAAGACTGATCTTAATCACCGGATTGCCGTTGCTCTTTGCGCGGGTTGTGTATGTGTGTACGTGTCTGACTTGGATGTATGAGTGTATATTCTGTCCGATGAACAAACGCTTTAAGTATCTTAGCTTCCAAACGAAATATCTCCTTTCATCTGTTTGTCTTCTAGACTATTGAAATCGTTTATAGTTTGTCCGACACGAAAAGCATTCAGCTGACACTATCACAGCGGGGTGTGTGAACGAGACTGGTCGATAAAGAAAATGAGGAACTCCCAGAAGAAGTTCGAGGGAAGGAATAATATTAGAGAATATAAAGCTAATCGATCCACTTCCTCTTGGAAAGAAACTACTAGGCTGATCCAAAAGTACCGTCACCAAGGCGTAACCCCTTTCAGACGGCAAATAGGCTATGGAAATCGTACTACTATCCATCACCTAATGCTGTTTTATTCGATTGGAGAAATCGTGTGATCATTGTAACCGTCCGATGGCAGTGAGGTTAGGCAACGTCAACAAAAACACGTGTATGTGTGTTTCTCAATCGCATTTCGTCCACCGACAAACAGGAAGGCGAGGAGTGTACTCACTTCGAAATCGACTGAACTACGTCTCAACTGCGCTTTTCGTATACGAGCCTCGGTTCGAGTCAGTAAACAATAATAGTCCGACTTGATGCTGTCCAATTGCGGATCGGGTACATTCGGATTGTGTGAGACCAGTTGCGCGTGCCGTTGTAACAACTCGGTCAGTTGATGTTCCTTCTGACGTAGAGTGGCAAGGAAGTCCTGCAAGGGTCCCAAAATCCACCATGCGAGCGGATGCCGGAAATAGGAAGCACAAGTTAAGGAGATGAGGTGAGGCTCGGAAAAATTTGGATGGTGACAATTGTGCGAACTACTACAGAGCACAAGTAGTTTGATAAAGCATGTGATAGCACATAGAGAACGGATTTGCTCATGGTGATGACTGTGAGATTGCGTGTGCAGTGGACGGGATGATAGCACCAAAATGAAAAAAACAGGGCGATAAGCGTGATTTGATGTAGGATGCTATCTAACAAAGCAGTGAGTCATGGCTACTTGGTAATGAAACGCTTGAAATCCTCGCTCACTTACAGCGGCTATCTTGTTTCCTTTACGTTCCATTTATTTTCTATGGTTTTACTCAGTAGATTAATGCTTTGGTCCAATCATGACTGAGACAAGGAGATGTGAATGGGTAAAAGTCTGGAAACGGTGTGAATAAGTCTCCACCTAATCGGCTCTTATTCGTGATGTACACATGTACATCGAACCGTATGGGCATCCCACGCGGATCTGAACGCGGACAAAATGCAAACTTGACTATCAGCTTTAGTTCTGTATAGAAACGGGCGAGGTGACGCGGTATAACTCGCACGAAGATAGAGCCGAAGATAGTTTGAGGTATTTCGTTAGTTTAAAGGTCACGTGGTTGTCACATACACATGTCCTCTGTTCGTCCTATCCCCAAATTGATCCTCATTAAGACAATAAATGCACACTGCGGATAAGAAAAGGGATTCTTCCTTGATTTTGGGTTCATGTTTCGATTAAGCTTCACACGAAAAAAAAATCATTTTTTACAAAACGAACGAATTGGCTGATCATATTTTCAACACTTGAGGTGTCACAAAGTTTCCGAAATGATAGCATGATTTCTTTTACTTCCGGCACTTTCGATCGGCTGCACACGTGTATATTGGCACTCAAGGTTGAATAAGGACAACACTAGTGGGATAGTCTATCAGATCGATGAATACGTGAATAAGGTCAAGCAAAGTACAGGACAGAGGGTCAAAAATAACGCGGAAAACCACATAGAACCACGGCAAGTGAACAACCCACAGGGGGCGTCAATCCATTGATGGTAGGGTCAGAATGAACACAAAGTTCAATTAATCATATCGAATACTGAACTGAAGCCACTGAATGTCCCAAACTTTCACAACGTTAGCTTTACACGATGGTTATTTAGTCTGTCCATGATGTTTAAGGTCTGTACTAGTCCAGTTTGCTGAGGCTTTGTACTCTGTTCATTTAACTTATGTTGTAGTAGCTTGACCGCCTGATTCCTGACATTCAACTGGCAGCTGGAATAAATTCATTAAATGAAACACTTGTTCATCCTGGTTACTAAGCAAGCCAAATCTGAATTGTTTTAAGTGGCTGGAAAACCCCAGCTAATCACCGGATGAAACGAAATGACGGTGGAAGTTAAAATAGGATGTAGATTGTGAGAGATCGTCGGAAGCCAATGCACTCTTCCATGATTCTCTGGCCGGTGACATATCTGTATGTGTGCGCGTGTTCGCGTGTGTGTGACTAAACATATCCATATCGGAGAAGGACTAAAAAGTGGCCATCCCATCTAGAACCGCGCCCAATCGACATAATTGGTCCATTCTTTCAGGTGTGCCTTGTAACATGTTTGTATACGACGACGGCATTTGTTACCAGCAGTTGTTCCTAACTAAGCTAGTTCACATTCAGGTAACATCAAAACCTGTACTGAGTGCCGATTTGCAGCATATTATTCACACACCA